CACACACACACACACACACACACACACACACACACACACACACACACGTGCGCATGCACACACACGGGGAGGAGCAGGGCAGGAAGCTGCTGGCCCGTGGGGGAGGCAGGGGTTGCGGTGTTGGGGTGCGCACCTCAGGAGGAGCCTGAAGACTCAGGGCGCTGCTGAAAATGGAGAAAAAAATAATAAAAAAGAGATGGGCTCAGAGGGGAACATGGGGCCCAAAGCCCACCTTTGTCAGTTGCAGTTCCCCTCCGGCTGGACAAAGGAAGCGTTCAGTGGAACGAGCTTCGTGGCTGGCACTGTGCTGGAGGGGGACTTGACCTTGCTCCTTTGGCCTCACTGGGGAATAAGTGGGCAGGGCCCCCTACCAGCCAGGCCCCACAGCCACTCCCACTGGGCCCCCAGTCCCTTCCTGGGCCCACTTCTCACTCCCTCCCCTCCCCAGAGGGGAGCCCGAGAACTTACCCACAGTGGCTGCCAAGCCGGGGGCAAACCGCTCCTCACAGAACCTCCTCAGGAAGGAAGTCTTCCCCACGGCGGAGTTGCCCACTAGCACAATTTTGAAGAGCCGGTCTAGGCTGGAGGGAGAGGCTTCCTCCTGTGGACAGCAGACAGATTGGCATGGCCATTAGCCCCTCCTCCTGCTACACCCTGTCCCTCAACCGGTCCCTACAGGGTCCAGGCGAAGGTGGGGACCTGGCCTCCACACCAGCACGAGGGAGGGCACTCCAGTCCTGGATGCAAGTAGCTTTGGGGTCTGGGAATAAAGGCTCCTTCTAGCATCAGCAGGAGGGAAGAGAGACACTCATTCAACCATTTGTTGTCGGCCTACTGTGCTGTGAACCCTGGGCAGAAGACACAGGAACAAGGAGGCAGGCCCTGTTGGCCAAGGACGGAAGGAGGCAGCCGTAGAAACAAATAATTATAACACATGCTTCCAGGTGCTCTGGGAGCATGGACGGGGAGTCCAGGGTCCACGGGGGGGGGGGGACACTGTGAGCCGGGGCTTAAAGAGGAGGCAGAGAATCTCTGTGTGCGGGAAGGACGGGTGGGATGTTTGCCGGTGGAAGGAGAGATAGAAGAAGGCATAGGTATATCACAGGGGCAGAGAAGGCCCAGGGTGGGCGAGGGGACCTTTATGTCTGCCCTAGCACTGAAAGCCTGGACTGAATGGAGGACGCTCTTACTTGCCTCCCTGCACATTGCTCATCCTTCCATCTCATCAGCTTCCAGTTAGGACCCCACCTGCCTGGGAAAGGGGCTCCACTCAGTAGGTTGGGAAATCCGCCAGGCCAGACCACTGGGAGGAGCTTTCCAGAGTCAACCATCCGTGCGCTCCTTCTCCTTGGCCCAGCAGCCGGCAGGGACTGGGAGCAGGTCTGCCCCTGAGTTAGTCTGGGACCCTAAAGCCCAGTGGGGGACGAACATGCTCAAGGACAGCCGGGGCAGCCGAGTAAGGAGCTGCCTTCAGGCACAGAGTCCTCTCCGCTGCATGATCATTCCTTCCCATGAGCTCCTTATTTGCTCAGCCAAATCCTGCCTCCAGGCCCAGCCCAGCCCTGCCTGGCCAAAGGAGGAAGCTCTTTTGAATCTATTTAGAAGCGGATTTGGGGGAATTAGCTCCTTTCATTGAGCAAATACTATAATGGAGCGGCAGCACATATTAGCAGTACTTGAGTCTCAGAGAAAAGCCATCAAAAGCCTTTCGGGGAGAAATCAATTCCATGCAGTACTTAGGAGGGAATTCAAGGTCAATTACAGGAGTTTAGACTAAACTTAAAAAAACCCGCACTCATAAACTATGCCCTCTGCCTCATTTTCTTTATTTTTATAACGCATAAGGGCATTGACTGCTGGTCCCTGCTCAGTCTCTGCCTCCAGCTGTCATTTGTTTGCGACTAAAACCCAGTGCAGCAATCCATGTATCCCTAGGCATGTCTCCAGGTGGGCAATGAGAAGCCCAGAGCAGGAGGAGACGGTTCTGGTTGCTGAGGCAGTCCTGGCCTTGTTCTAGGAAGAGCAGGGTTTTTTTTGCAGGCCAAAGATCAACACACTGAGGGCCCAGCTCTGGGCAGGCCCCACCTCACAGGCGCAGCAAACCCTGACTCATGTTCACTCATATAACCTGCGTTTCCTCTGGGGGACAATCCGGTGTGTCAACCAGATTGGGGGGAGGCAGCTGGAGTAAGATCTGTTCTCATTCTCTGTCCTGCCACTTTTTTAAAAAAAATTTTTATTGTTATGTTAATCACCATACATCATTAGTTTTTAATATAGTGTTCCATGATTCATTGTTTGTGCATAATACCCAGTGCTCCACGCAGAACGTGCCCTCTTTAATACCCATCACCAGGATAACCCATCCCCCCACCCCCCTCCCCTCTAGAACCCTCAGTATGTTTTTCAGAGTCCATCATCTCTCATGGTTCATCTCCCCCTCCGATTTCCCCCCCTTCATTCTTCCCCTCCTGCTATCTTCTTCTTTTTTTTTTTTCTTAACATATATTGCATTATTTGTTTCAGAGGTACAGATCTGTGATTCAACAGTCTTGCACAATTCACAGCGCTCACCATAGCACATACCCTCTCCAATGTCTATCACCCAGCCACCCCCTCCCTCCTACCCCCCACCACTCCAGCAACCCTCAGTTAGTTTCCTGAGGTTAAGAATTCCTCATATCAGTGAGGTCATATGATACATGTCTTTCTCTGATTGACTTATTTCACTCAGCATAACTAAAAGTAATACATGCTAATTTTTAAAATTAGGAAAAAGAGAAAAGTAGAGAAGAAAATAATAATTATTCATAATCTACCTTGCCAACCAGAAGTGGTCACTATTCATATTTTGATGCATGTCTTCTAGGCTTTTATCTATGTAGATGAATGAATACATGTTTTATTTAAAGAGATTTGAAATATTATATACAATTTTATTTTCTCATATATTATTAAATTATAAATATTTCTCCAAGTCACTAAAGTTTCTTGAAAATGTGATTTTTTTAGATTTTATTTCTTTATTAGAGAGAGAAAGCGTGCCTGCGCACACGCAAGCACGATCGGGGGGAGGGGCAGAGGGAGAGGAACAAGCCAACCACCCGCTGAGCATGGAGCTGGACATGGGGCTCAATCCCAGGACCATGAGATCATGACCTGAGCTGAAAGCAGACGCTCAACTGACTGAGCCACCCAGGCGCCCCTTGAAAATGTGATTTTTAATAGTGCTATAATATTCTATTGAATTTTTTCAAGTGTTTGCTAATATACCTAACCATTTTTGAGTTAAATCTTTGTCTGAACTGGGTTATTAGGAAGGATTGCTAAGAGTAGAAGTGCTGGTTCAAAGGATGTGGAATTTCTAAGTTCTTGATTCTTGTTATCTATCAGACTACTTTCCAGAAAGGCCGTATGGATTGATGCCTCAGCAGCCTTGCATAGGAGGGCCTGCCTCACAGCACTCTTCCAAAGGGCAGACCTTCTGGTAAAGCTTCCCCGTGATTCTCCGAGAGCACACTTCCTGTCTGCAGCAGCTCCTGTCCTAGGCCACTTGGTAGCACACGTGGTGGAATTAGCACCACATGAGAGCACACAGCGAGCAGGCTGGGCTCAAGTCCCTGGGGGCCCAGATCAGGTCTAGCCCCTCCGGGCTTCTACTTCCCCATCTGCCACAGGGGAGAAGACACTGCTGATGCACCGCATCAGCTCACATGGCCCAGCACACCTGGGTGCTTTGTTCCTCCCTTTACCCCATCTCTTACTGACCTCTTGACACTTTTACATTTGGGAGCAGAGCATGGGTATTTAAAACCCCAGTGTGCCCCCTGCCCGCAGGTGCAGGTCTGTGCTGAAGGGGATGTGGAAGGGCATGGAGGAGGGAGGGGTCACTATCCACCACTGGCGCCATCCAGCTGTCACTCGCCTGCTGGCCCAAGGCCCTTCGGAGAAGGGATATGAGGCATCTTAATCCAGGCCCAGGAATGACAACCGATGCCAAGGAGTCCCTGCAGTGGTCGGAAAGTTTTCCTGGCACACATGCTAATACGGCCGTTTGGAAATGCTCAAGTGGCAAGGGCTCGGTCCTACAGGGCCGCCCCAGTGTATAGGGAGGAGTCTCTTTCACACTGTCATGGGCATTTCTGTAGCCTTTCAGAAGGTGGAGGAATCTATTTCTGGGCGTGGGTCACAAACAAGGTGAGGAACATCATCACCATGGACCAGAGGAAGATGGTTACTATGGCCTCCTTTTCCTGCAGCATTGAGCAGGAAGCCCTGGTTGGGAGTACAGGAGGGGCGAGGGAGAGAAGCACCCCGAAGGGAGGAATAGGCAGGGCATTTGGGAATGAAAGGATGATTAGCCGATTGGGATGATTACACAAACTTTACAAAACAATGATTGGCCTTGCTGAGAACAGTTACAAAATATAAGAGAAGACGTGCAATTTTAAAAGTATGTGGTAGTTTATGCTAAGAGCCAAGCGAGATGTCTGTCTAAAGTAGCCACTTTTAAAATGCTTTTGAATCTGAATCAGAAAAGAGAACATAGGGGCAAACCACAGAAGTTATAAAGAGAATTTGCCAGGGCCCCCGAGCCTCCCTAGTGACACTCAGTTCAACAGGGCAAGCTGGTATCTGAAGGACACAAATAGGGTGATTCATGAGACCAGCCACCTCTGACTTGCTGAGCTTCCTTTGGGACTCTTGGGTTCAAATGCAAGGGACAGGCATAAGAGTGACACCTACAAACCAACATAGGATGGGTCCTTACCTTAGACAAGGCTTCTTTTCCAACAGGCTGTCCTCGGGGAGATGTAGGCATGGGTTCCAAGGATCTGGCCTGCTGGCTTTGTCCTTCCACCCTCTGCTGGGTGACCTCCTCCTCTTCTGGGCATTTGCTCAATGGCTGCTCAAAGCTGCCATCCAGGAGCTGGGGCAGGGGGTCTTCTTCAATGGAGATGATTCTGCGGAGTGCCCGGGGGAGTGGACCTTCAGCCCCTGGCTCCTCTTCTGGAAGGGGATATCCACTCAGGCCTAGGGAGCTTCTCCTCCTCGGGAGGACAAACACATCTTCTAACTCCTCTGACTGGCTACTTTGGGGTAGGGAAGAAAGAGAGATGGGGAAAATATCATACAATATATCAATATGGAAACTGGAGAGATGCCTGATAGCTCTGTGACAAACAACTAACTGAAGAGCATCACAGCTTGGGGGCAGAGAGCTCCAAGAAAGGAAAAAAACAACAACAAAAACAGACCCTGCATTCTCTAGCTCAGTCACCCAAAACACTTCTTTAAGTGCTTAATTAACATGAAGGTGATAAGGTGGTGGTGATGATAATGATGAAGGTGGTGGTGATGATGATGGAGGTGGTGGTGATGATGGAGGTGGTGCTGATGATGAAGGTGTTGCTGATGATGAGGAAGGTGGTGGTGATGACGATGATGGAGGTGGTGTGATGATGATGATGGAGGTGGTGTGATGATGATGGAGGTGGTGATGTTGATAATGGAGATGGTGGTGATGATGAAGGTGGTGTGATGATGATGATGGAGGTGGTGTGATAATGATGAAGGTGGTATGATGATGACGATAATGATGAAGGTGATGATTACCACCAGGTATTTAGCTAATGACACAGTCATGCACAGATGGACACAGCCCCATCCTCATGGCAAGCTCAGCTTAGTGGGGGGCTGAAGCAGTAATGGCACAACTAAATATACTTCAACAAACTATGAGAAATGCCAAAAAGGGGGAATAAAGGATGTGAAGAAAGGAGCATAAAAGATCTGGAAATAAAGCATCTTCAATGAACAATCAGGTGGCCTTGGCTGTGGTCCCAATACCAGCCCTTACTGACTGTGGCACTAGGGAGAACACTTCAACTCTTCCAGCCTTCAATTTCCTCACTATAAAATGAGTCTTGCCTACCTCCCTAATAAGACAAAGCATAAAAACAGATGTGTTCGCAAAACAGCCCTCAGCAAAGTGAGTGAGGGGGGACTGCTGCTCTGGGAGGAGCCCCACCACTGGCTCAGAAGCAGCTGCGCATTTGTGGATGGGCTTGGGGTTGCAAGGAAGCCAGGCAGGGCACCTCTACCTGCCTTTCCTACCTTTCCCTTTCTCTTTCATTGTCCCTGCCAGTCAGCGTCAGGAGTAAGTGGCCTCAGAGGCCTATGTGTGTATTTGCTTCCAGAAGCATCTGAGCATCAAGAACAAGGAAAAGCAGAAGGAGGTGGAGGGAACTGGGCAACCAGATGTGAGCCAATGCATGGGCTGTATTCTCAGAAGGTTTTCAGAGCAAAGACCTCATAGACCCTTCCTGGCACAGGAGTTCAGGTCTCTGGGAACAATTAAGCTGAGAAGGGTTTTAAATGGAAGTCTGACAGGGAGAACCTTGAGTCCCAAACTGAAATACAGATGCACACACACATGCAAGGATTAGAAAGGAGAATGGAATGCAAATTAGGTGAGGAGGTGACAGGGCCAAAGGAGAAAGAAGGTAGGCGAAGGTCACAGAATATGCAGAACAGTGAAGCGCCCTTCATTGTGCCCCCTGGCTTATACTATTTATTCTTCCTAAGGACCAATAATAGGAAGGGAAAGGAAAAAAAAAAAACTGCATGTGTCATTGTTCTGAAGTTAGGTGCAACTCTGAAAGATAAATTAAGATAGAGTGCTCACAAAAATGGTGACTTAATTTGGGTCCCTTGATACAAAATAAAGAATTCTGTAGCAATTCAGGGACCTTCCCACTTATTTATAAAATTGTAGTTTTTAATAGAAGCTAACTGTCTTCTTTCCAACAAATTTCTTCTACAGTCTAACAAGCCTACGGACTGCTTATCCACTTTGGAACACAATTAGTATTCCATCCACTTTCACTCTGCTTACACACACGAGTGCATGCGTGCGTGCCCATGCAAACAAGTGTGCACATACATTCACAGCATGTTTCTTGAAAGGCCTCGCAACCAGAAAAAAGAAATGGCCACTGAAACAGCCCTAAAATGAAGTATTTCTTGGAAAAAGCTTTTGATTTGGGAAATTCTCAAGCACTGTTGACATCCTCTAAAATCCTCAGCTTAGCACGACTAAATTTATTTTTGGTTTTGCCATCAAAGGCTACATACGAACAGCAGAGAGCAGTGGCTTCTGCCAAAGTCTGTCCTGGAATTCAGGGTGTGCAATTTGTTACTTATCTGCTTATTGTCTGTTTCCTTTCCTCCACCCTAAGCTCTATGAAAGCTAGGGTCTCTTTTGCTCACCACTGTATACCTAGCACATAGCATAATATCTTGCACATAGTAGGCACTCAACAATGGACTCGTGTTTAATTTATTTTTGGAGACATTACAGAACTCAAAAGAATGTCTGGTACAGATTAAGCAATCAGCGAATGTTTGTGGAATGAATATATTCAGTGCTGAGCAACCAACAGGCCAACCATTACTGCAGAAACTTGGATCCCAAATTGTATCCCTCTGTTGAGCTATTTATTGTTTTTAAAGATTTTATTTATTTATTTGAGAGAGAGAAAGAGAGAGAAAGCGGGGGGAAGAGCTGAGTGAGACGGACAAGCAGACGGACAAGCAGACAAGCTGAGTGTGGAACCTGACACGGGGCTCGATCCCAGGACCCCAAGATCATGACCTAAACTGAAATCATGAGCTGGATGCTCAACCAACTGAGCCACCCAGGTGCCCCTCTGTTGAGCTCAACCAACTGAGCCACCCAGGTGCCCCTCTGTTGAGCTATTTAGAAAAAGAGTTCAGGATGATTGGGTCCAAAGACTTGACCAATGAGCTCATCAACATCTCCAGAGTCACTTCCCTTTTTCGTATTGTGTATTTCATGCTCGCTGTCCTCAGGGTCTCCTGGATGAGCAAATTCATGCACTTTCTCCCTGGCTTTGATTTTTAGGGGTCTGGCTGCCTTTACCTTTCTGCGGCCATCTATGTGGATGGGACACATGGCAAAAAGGAAAAGAAGGCGGAGGACTGGCTTGTCTCTTTCAATGGGCGATGAGCCACGCCTCTGGGGACTCAAACTCGATTACTGTGCTGTCTAATTACAACAACAAAAAAATGTTATCTCTGAGGTAATTAAATGTGAAGCACTGAGAGGAATCTGTCAAGCACAGGCCCCATTCCTGTTTGTAAAGCAGCTCAACTATTGGAGACGCCATCCCACACTTCAATTACCCTTCAGAGCCCAGTCATGTCCCTGAAAAACCAGGTGCATCCATTCTGCCCAACGGAGAGTATCTTCCAGCCACACTCCACCTCTCTCCCTTGACCCTTTTCATTCCCTCTCTCTGTCTCTCCTCTGCTGATCTACAGCCCCTCTTCTGTCCCTATCTGCAGACACACACTAGAAGACCATGCCCTGCCCCAGGGACCTGCCCTGCACAGTCCTCCTCCCGCTTGGATGTCAGAACAGAAAGGAACGTGTCCTCTAAGATTCAAGGGGAGCGAGTGCAAATGACTCCAGGCTTCCCCACCCTGGGCCACTTCTTGAGAGCCAATGGGTGCAAGACAAAGGAACACATAATGAATGAAGAAATCAGGGATGACTTACCTCCTAAGAATCCCTCTGCCGTCCAAGTATTTGCCTATCACAGAGCCAGATCTCTGTTTCCAGTTCGCCTTGGAAGCAGCTGTGTTTGCCTTGGCTGCCTTATCTTTCTGTAGAAACACAAAATGCCCTCAGATCCATGCCTGCTGATTTGTCCCAATGTTTGAGCAGAAAGGGTTCTACTTTCCCACCTCAAAGGTCAGGCTGTAAACCAAATTCTGAAGTAAGAAGCAATGTTCTGGTCTCCCTGTTAGCATTCTCTTACTCTTTCCTTTTGCTATTGTTTCTTGTCCAGGATCCCTCCCTCTCCCACCCAATAATCTAATAGAATGAATCAATACACAGTTTAGAGCCTGGGGTCCACCTTGTGGACCCTTCACAGCAGTACTGACAATTTGCAAGATGACAAGAAGAGATTATGCGGAAGGCATAGGAAGGTATGAATGCGCAGAAAAAACTGTGCATCTTTAAATCACACTCATCTGTATGGCTCCAACTCGTCTTTATTTCCAAAGCCCCAGAAATGAAAAAGGGACCAGCCCTGAGGATCGTTTAGCCCGGTGCCCTGTGGCAAGCGGGGGCTTACAACCCTGCTCACGGTGCTCCCCAGCAGATGTCTCCCAGGACATGAGGGGGAGTTAGATCATAGGAGGAATCTCTCATTAACCAGTGATCTCCACAATTCCCAGTGATTCTTAATGAGAGAAGGAGGGGCTGCAGCGCTCCCAGGGCCCCTGAAGGTATGGCTATAATGATTCCAAATTAATCTTTAATTATTATTCAGCATGAACATGATTTTATCCCTCTTTCTTCCATTCCCCACTAGGGCTCTTAAATTCCATTTCCTTTTCAAAGCAAAATGAGTTTGGCAGGTGAAGGGAAGTGAGGTCAAGGGATTAGGGTGACGTTTGGTTGGAAATTTTAAAACAAATTCAGTGTTACTTCTAAAACAATTCTAACCATTATCATCATCAAACAAACATGTGTAGGCTGAAGCCTTGCTCTGACAGTACATAGAGGTGGGCGGTAGAGAAATTTGCTGCCAGTCAGTGGTAGGAAAGAAATGAGGGTATAACAAGTTCTCCCCAGGGATTTGTAGTTGTGAACCAGCTGCCTTATGCTGGCCACATTCAGGCCACTGTCCAGCTCAGGGCCCAGAGCCTATGACCCTCCTCTTTGCAAGAGTTTTTCTCAAAAATCCCTATAACATGGAAAAAGGATAGGCATTCCCTTTCCTCATGTGAGAGCTGGGGTCATGCTGGGGCAGGCTGATGACGTGCCCAAGGACACATGAGAAATTCACGAGGTACTAGATCCTGATGAATAGGAAGTTGCGGCGGTGACTCCTGTCCTTTTCTGTCTCTTCAGAGCATCCAATGGCTCCTCTCTAAAGGGGAAGATGAGTGGGAGAACATGGCATCCTGGATTTTGTTTAATGTGGCTCAAAGTGAAGACCTGTCAATCCATATAGGATTCTGTGCTATTCGGGAGACGATGTAAGTGCGGTGTTCAGGTACAGAGAAACAGGGGTCCCGGTAGGGCAGAAAAGGTGTACTTAAAATCAATGATGTTAATAGTGAAATATACATTTTTAATTTGTTCTATGATGGTATAAAAATGCAAATTTTTCATCAAGAGATTAAACATGTTAACGAAGGGGGGAAAAAAAAACACCTGTGAGCATTTTGGTTAAAAGTGATCATGATATTTCAACTGTGCCATCTCCTGGATAGATCCACCATGTCCACGTTGAAGCGATCTGTGACTCTCTTAAATATTTTAGTCTCTTTATGCCAAGATGCAAGTGTGTTACTTCATGGAAAATTCACACACTGCTACTCAGAAGGCCACCCTGCATTTTTATTATAAAAAAAAAAAATCCATGCCATTGTCTGCTCACACAGAAAGGATGAGCCAGACGTCAAGGACATTCTTGGGCCGGTTCCAGCACGGGCTCTGGCTGCCAGTGGACCCAAATCCTGTCAGGAAAAGGAGCATGGGTCAATTACCTGATAACGTATGTCCCGTTCATCCTGAAGATGCTTGTTCCTTTCCCTGCAAGTGGAAAAGGGGAATCTATTCAGACATGGTGTTTGCAGTGCATAGACCCAATAGCGACCGGTTTGCCAGGGAGATGCGCACAGAGAAAATCTTGACGTGGAAAGCCCAGGGAGTGTGTCTTTCCTTGGGGATTGTGACAGAGGCTAGTTTGTGTGTAAGTTGGCTGAAGGCCGGGGGACAGACAGATCCTTCAGGATCATGCACTCTAGGATCCCACCACTAGGAAGAGCCACCCCTAGACGGTGACCAGGAGTTCGCGCAGCACCTGTGAGCTTGCTATTGGGTGCGCGTGCTCTCTCTCTGACCCATTCATTTCACGCATGCATGCAGTCACTCAACAAATGTCTCCCGAGCACCCACTCCATGCTCAGCACGGTTCTAGCTACCAAGGTTACAAACAATGAATGAAAAAAAAAAGAGTTCCTGTCCCCAGGGAATTTTATTTTAGGGCAGGAGTCATTGCTATTGAGAAAGACGAAGCAGGCACCTGGAAAAAAGAGTGTCAGAGGGTGCATTGGTATCTCAGTAGGGCGCTCAAGGAGGCGGCATCTGAGTGGAGACTTGCCGGAGAGGGAAGCTATGCTGATATCTGAGGGAAGAGCGTCACAGGCAGAGGAGATGGCTAGGGCAAAGCCTGGAGTCAAGCTCTACAGGATGTGTGTGAGGAACAGAAGGGAGGGCATCAGAGTGCTCGGAGGAGAACCAGTAGGACCTGAGGTCAGAGAAAGGTGGGGGGAAAGTAGAGACCTGACCATTCGCGGTCTTGTGGGCCATTGTAGGAACTTGGGATTTTACTCCAAAAGAGATATGAGGTCATGGAGGGTAGGGGAGTGGCAGCAGAGTGTCCTGATCTCACTCAAGTTTTATAAGGAGCCCTACAGTATAGATGCTGGATTCCCAAGCACGTGTTCCTGAGTGTCCTGAAATTGCTTCCATTTGTCCCTTCCTCCCCCGGTCACATCCCAGCCATTGTCCCGATTCCCCCCGCTTCCTCCCCCCAATCTCCAACTCCACATTCCCGCTATTGCTTGCCCCAGCATTATCTCTCTACTTGACTCCTTTTTCCCACTGCTCTCTGTCACTATCTGGTGATTTCACTGTGGAGGAAAAATCTGCCACATCGGGGCTGCCAGCGGCTGCAGAATCTAAGCTTGTAAAGCATGCGACAGCACAGAAATGCTTCAGGCATGTGATTCTGCACAAATGCTGGTCTCCATCAAAGAGACCCATACGTAGAGAGCTGCCTTGTTATTCTCCTCTGCTCATTCGCTTGAATCTGTCCTTTTCTTCTAAGTACAAAAGAAAAAAGGAAAAAAAAAAAAACACAAAAACTTGCCCTTGTACATTTTGTTCTCTTCCTTCCACTAAAGCTTCCTAAGAATCAAGACCTGCTCTCAAATGGATTAGAACGTGGCCACGTCCCATTCAGTTTGGAGCACTTTTCCATTTGGTAGCATCACAGATGCCAGACACAGTAACCTCACCTGGCTTTCAAATAAAACAAAATAAAAACTGGGGCACCTGGGTGGCGCAGTCGGTTAAGCATCTGACTCTTGATTTCGGCTCAGGTCATAATCTCAGGGTCCTGAGATCCAGCCCCGCGTCAGGCTCCATGGTCAACATGGAGTCTGCTTGAGATTCTCTCTCTCTCTCTTCCTCTGCTCCTCCCCCTACTTGCTCTCTAAATAAATAAATAAATAAATAAATAAAACAAGTCAGAGTGTCCCTGATTCAAGACCACTGACTGCACTTCATCACCATTCCCAAGAGGTGTTTGGCAGACAGAAGTAGCTTGGAAACCTCACAGGCAAAAGTGAAAACCCCATCTTTCCACACACAGGTTTTATTTTGGGTTTGGTTCTGGCACATCCCAGACCGATGAGCTTTGAATTTACAGTGAGTCTTAGTGAGCTGAGGAAACTCTAAACTCCTTTGCTCTGTTTGTGTTCTAGTCATGATTTATTTTCTCATTCAACAGACATTAAAAGAATATGGCAGAATCGAGAGAATCAGCCAGATATGGATCTCAATTCTGGCTCCTGCAGTGCGTAGCTGTGTCTCTTTTGGTAACTGGCTTCATTTCTCTGCTATCAATTTCCTCCTCCGTTAATTTCTCTAGCAGCAACTGCCCTCCTTTCCTGAGTTTCGTTGAAGATGAAAGGGTACCAAATCTGCCATAGGGTAGCAGCTCAAGAAATTCAGTTCCCCTCCTACTAGAGCAAGTACGACACAAGGTGCTGCGAGAGATGCCACGAAGAATGAGGCAAAGCCTACCTGCAGGGGTACAGACTGGAGAGGGGTGTGAGTGTGTGTGTGAATGGGCCAAACGTGATATGCTGAGGATCAGGGGAATGAGAGCATTCTCTCAGTGGCTATACCATCCACAATGGAGGCAGGGAAGACTCTCAGACTGGCCCTTCCCACCCCAGGCACCCGGGATGTGCTCTCGGAACAAACCCGGTGCTCACGAACCTCAGGAAATCCAACTGCTTCAGGAGCCCCGACTTCTCGCGCTGCAGACTCTCCGTCACACGGTACACTTCCCTGAGGAGGAGGCAAACACAGCACTTCTGAGCTTCCATTCTTGGGATGTAAGCTACCACGGTGTGAGGGGCTGTGCTGAAGTTGGATGCCCAGGACCCTCCCACTGAAACCCAGCCGGCAGTACCCCACCCTGGGGACACGGGGGTTAGAGGAATATGCCTCCCTTGGAGAGCACCTGCTATTGGCAGGTGGTTTCGGCCATGATCTCACTTATCAGTACAGATGCCCTATTTGGAAGAGGAAATTACCATGGACACAGACAAAGGGTCAGTAACTCTCCCCATGTTACACAGACAATCCATTACTGAGCAGGGTTCTAATCTAGATTAGGACCTCCTACTCCCAAACCCATGAACAGGGCTCCCTGCCCAGGCTCCAGGTGGTCCTGCCCTGCCCGGAATTCAGAGAATTAGAACCAACATTCTTCCTCAGTCCCATCTTAGAGGAGAGCAGAACTTGTATTTTTTCCCCCCTGACACTGTTTGTTTCCAGGATCTCCAGAAGAATCATTCCTCCTTCCCCATTTTCCCCTATAAGTCTCCAATCTGTTCATAGATCTCTGAAATTTCCACTGTTGGCCACTCATTTCTTTAATTTAGGGATTTCATTTCTTTTTTTTTTTTTAAGATTTTATTTATTTATTTATTTGACAGAGAGAGACACAGCGAGAGAGGGAACACCAGCAGGGGGCGTGGGAGAGGGAGAAGCAGGCTTCCGGAGGAGCAGGGAGCCCGATGCGGGGCTCGATCCCAGGACCCTGGGATCATGACCTGAGCCGAAGGCAGGTGCTTATTGACTGAGCCACCCAGGCGCCCCTAATTTAGGATTTCTTATCTCTAGCCAGCAAGCAGAGGTTTTGAGGAAGGGACAGGAGAAGCTTAGAGGTAGCTGGGGTATCTGGAGAGCAACTCAGAGGGTGAGGCAGGGGCCTTGTCTGGTTTGGTCCAGTATGTTTGCATCTCTGTGGAGCCCAGTATCCAGCATGAAAGCTTAATCAACAAATAGCAGTAAGAAACAAAAGGAGAGTCGGGGAGGGAAGAAGGAAGGCAGGGATGGAGGAAGAGAGGAAGGAAGGGGTGAGTCGGGGAGGTATTCAATAGCACTCAGGGAAGAAAGAAAAAAAGGAAAGCCGAACTGGGTGACATTGGAAAATAAGCCTTGCTGAACTTCACAACTTTGCCTCCCTCCTTCCTCTGTGCTCTGCACCGGTTTAGAAATGTTTGAATCACTCCTAAGCTTACTGAAAAAGGGCCATAGTTCCAGATTTCCAAACCATGGCAGGGCTTCTAATGTAAGGAGCATCTTCCAGCCTCACAAATGTGTGCATTTCCACAAATTGTCTGGGTTCCCCGGATTGTGCCCACACCGGGCTGGGAAAGGACAGTCACACACACACACACACACACACACACACCCCGCCGCCCCCTCAATGTCATTACTGAGCTGGTAAAAATAGCACCTGCTTGCTCCATCCATCCCAGACTTGGGCCAAACTCACCATAATCACATTCCTTAAAAAGTATCGGTGTGTTTTTCCCCCCACTTATAGAATAATTATAAAGTCAATTTACAACAAACAATAACAGATTGACTCAAATTCTAAGTTCACCTTAGACAATCCTAATTAAGCAACAAAACTTCTCTAGCTCCCGCAGAGCTGCAAATTCCTAACATTTTATTACCAATTATACTTAATTTCAACTTGAGGGAAAACAATGTATTTTCCATTACCCAAACCGGGTCCCCAAGTCCCTGTGTAGGATTCTGCTGTGATGAGCGGTCCGGAGTACAGCTGTCTGTGTGCTGCCACCGAGCCCTGGTCACCAAGGTGGCTTTGTGTTTCCTCCGGCCTAGTCGTAGGTTCTCATTCTCAGCCAGGAGCAGACAGTTTTGCCCCTGCTAAGGACAATCCTTGGAAATCTGAGGTCTGTGTTCTCAGAGTGCTTGATTTAGGAGCCAGTTCCTAAAAAGCAAGGCAGAGCGGTCTCTGCCCTGTTTACATAGTACCAGTTGACCGCTGAAGCCACACAATCACACCCGCATGTACGCACATATGTTACATATCGACGCGAATATAGGTCTACCTATTTGTCTAGTAAACATACATCTGTTTAGATCCATACACATATTCAGGCTTTTTGTGTGTTAACAAAAAGAAGGGCATTCCTGAAAAACCAAATGACACTTGGACAGTTGACCAAAGGACCTTCAAAGTCCTTCTAACTGGACGTCGTAAAGGTTTATACTGGGTAATCTGTGGACTGAAAGGGAAAGAACTTGGCATTTTTCATAGGAGTGACTGGTGAGAGGTTTATGGTTGTCTTTAGAGAACAGCTGTTGGCTTTGTTTTCTGGAGAGGGATGAGTCAGGGAGCATCTCCAAAATATATTGTCAAGTGAAAATACAGGCTAATGCAGAACAGTGCACTGCCACTTTATAAATGAGAAGTGTGTGTGTGTGTGTGTGTGTGTGTGTGTGTGTGCGTGTGTACGTGCGCACGTGCGCGCTTGTATATGCATAGAACACTCTGGAAGGATCCACAAGAAACAGGACTGGTGGTCTGTTGATCGCAGGCCCAGAGTCATGAGTGGGGCACGGGGCATGCAGGCCTCTTTTCGAGTATATATCCTTTTGTGCCTTTGGGATTCTGTGCCTTGTCATAAACTCCCTACCCTAAACAAAAATTCATTAACCAAATAGAGAGGTACAGCTTTTCAGCTGACCTTTCATCTTTATATTATATTATCTCTCCTGCTTGATTGTTCCTTATCTTATTTTAAAATCAAGTTCTCCTGGGCGCCTGGGTGGCTCAGTTGGTTAAGCGACTGCCTTCGGCTCAGGTCATGATCCCGGAGTCCTGGGATCGAGTCCCGCATCAGGCTCCCCGCTCAGCGGGGAGTCTGCTTCTCCCTTTGACCCTCCCCCCTCTCATGTGCTCTCTCTCTCTCATTCTCTCTGTCTCAAATAAATAAATAAAATCTTTAAAAAAAAAATAAAAAAAATAAAATCAAGTTCTCCTTCCTTGAGCATCTTCAGAGAAGAGAAAAATTAATTTTGCCCATTCAGAATGCTAGCTGATAAATGACTAAGTCTTTTTATCCTCTATTCCTATTCCATCCTCTCCCTTCCCAGCTGCTCTGGTGCAACATCAGGCAGCAAGACGCTGTGCAGGGGGAGCGCGTGCTATTGGGACGACGAGCCTCTGTCCCTGTTTTCTGGCACCAACTAGCTGTGTGGCTTGGGGGCGGTCACGACACTTCACTGAGCCTCAGTTTCTTTGTTCATAAAATGAAGAGGTGGCTTAGAGCACTCGGGTTCTCTCAGTACTGTTGCTCTGGGATTCTGCTCTACAGAGCGCAAGCTAAGGCTCTCCCTGCCCTTGTCTCCTGACCTCCCTGGACAGGACCCTCGCTCCCGGGCTCCCGGCATGCTTTCTCACTGCAGCATTGTGCGCTTTCTGAAAGCAAGTCGCGAAGGTTCAGAGGTTCAGAAATCATTTCTCTCTCCCTCCTAACCCTCTTTTTCAATTCCCAGCCTCCAGAGATTGTGTCTCTGGCTTGGTTAATTAAGATAAGACTTCAGAAAGATTTTAATCCTCATGCTGTGATTTGATACCCCAGCACTGGGTGCTTATTTCCATTTGCTGTTCTAATGCTTGTGCCTTCAGATGTTTGTTGTTTTAGAACTTGATTGAATTTTAAGAGCCTGAATCCTTAATTCTGTTTTGTAAAGTTAAATGCCTGCACCTTGTTGGCCTGCTCTCAACGAGGAGGAACTGATTTTGCTTGTTTATAATGAAATACACTGTCCTGCCACTGGTCATCTGAGAATCGGAGTGAAGGGTTTTGTTTTAAGTCAGTTACTCGGGAATACAATTTTTTTTGTTTGTTTGTTTTAACTAGAGAAGTCTTACTAGGGTAAAACTCCACATGCAAACACATTTCCTCCCTCTCGCCCCAGGCAATCAGGCCCAAGCCGCAGAGCACACCCAGAACAATGGGATTTGGGCCGATGGACCCAAATGTTGCCAGCAGTCAGACAGAGGGAGGGCTTTCACTTTTGAACAAGGGGAAGGTTAGTGTATGTAAAACTCGGCACTGCTAAGCAACACTGTCCTCTGAAATCAGACTCTCTATAGCATCTGGCACAGGGCCAGACCCACGTGACCTTCTGCAGAATGAATGAAGGGGACAAATGAGAGCCTGAGCGAATAATGAGTGAGCGTGGCCAGTCCTACTCCTGAGTCAGTATTTTCTGGCTGGCTCATTACGCACTGTGCGGAGTCAGCCAGATGCGTCCAGCCCTGAGCATCCTGTGACAGTTACTTAATACCCCTTGGCCCTGGGCTTCCTCATCCGTAGAGTGGATACTCACAGTACCTGCCACAGCAGGATGCTATCAAGTTCTTATGGAATAATGTCAAATTACTGACATGGGGTGATATACGGAATGCACAACACAATAAACCAGCGCAGAGTAGTTTTCAATAAATGTTTGACAAGTGACTGAGTAAATGAATGTATGGGTAAATGCGTGAACAAATAAACAAGGGAGATCCCCATCCCTGGGCACGCCAAGGAGTGCCTTTGTTCTCAGAAGCTAACGCTCCCAAGACAAGATCAATGGCTCGTCCCCCAGCAACTCCTCAGGTTCAGCATGCAGACCCAGCCCTTGATCCTTCCTCATACGTGCCTCTCCCTAGCAGGCCGAGTTGGCTGGTTGCACGCCCAATGCAGCTCAGTGGCGAACCGGGCCCTGAGAGACGTGGGGCTCCCCGCACTGGGCCCACACAGAGGAGAGAGTGGGCAGACCGGAGCAAAGAGTCCAGGGCACTGTCACACACTCCATCAGATTCTATGTTGACCTCAGAAGCCTACCTGCTTCATTCCTGTCCTGGGTCTTCCTAGTCTCTCAACTATTACAGTCACCTCTCTCTCTCTCTCTCTCTCAAATAAATAAATCTTTAAAACAAATTTAAAAACTAAAAATAAAATAAAAAGGGGCAGTTGGGTAGCTCAGTCAGTTAAGCAACCAACTCTTGGTTTCGCCTCAGGTCATGATCTCAGGGTCCTGAGATGGAGTCCTGCATCAGGCTCCGTGCTCAGCAGGGAGCCTCCCCTTCCTTCTCTCTCTGCCCCGCCCCCCGCTCTCAAGTACTCTCTCTCTCTCTCTCTCAAATAAATAAATAAATCTCTTAAAAAATAAAATAAACCATGATAGTTACGGGTGGTCTGTCTGCTCACTCAGCCTTTTCTCAGTGACTGCCTTACATTTATTGGTTGGATAACACATCTTTCTCATCACATAGTAAATTTTCCAAGAACAGGGTTGTAGATGTCCTACAAATCCTAGATTATGCTTGCCCTGTTCTGCTTAATGGCCTCCGGATCCCAGAAGAGATTTTCAGGGAGGAAGGAACCCCCAAGCCCCACGTGATAGGCAAGGTGACAGGGTCCCCAGGAGAGGAGATGGCACGCTCACAGCAGGGGGTGGAGCCCGCGAAGGCCAGACTCACGTCTCCTTGTCCTGGTGGAGTTGGCGGGCCTCTTGCTGGAGGCTTTCCAGCTGCTGCTGGGCATCCTGCAGCTCCCGGGAGGTCCGCGCCAGCTCCTGGGCCAGCTCCTGGTTTGTGACTTTCAGCTTGGTGTTCTCAGCCTTGGTTTCATGCTCATCATTTTGTAGCATGGCGCACTGACCTTCCAGCTGGAAAGGAAAGTGGGGGAGCAGAAGGGAACGATAAGCAGCCACCAAGCAATCTGGCCTGCCCCTACCTCCCCTCACTTTCTGCACCTGTGGGCCATCTCGACCAGCCATCCCTGCCCCGGAGCCTCGACAGGCTTTGTCCTGCGCCTTAATTCACACCGATGCACTTTTGGAGGCAGGGGAGACGTTTCGGAGCACATCTCATCTCTCCCCTGCCTCCACAGGGCTCCTGAACAGTCCAGAGGGAGAGGCACCATTCACAAAGACCGCTAGGAAAGGAAGGTCACCAATCCATCCGTGCTGCCCATCCCAGTGACGATAATGCTGATCATTATCATCTCATCCGTGGTCTTGAGAGCTAACCTCAACCCCTTTTGTCCTTTCAGTCAACTGTGTCCCCCAGCCCTGAAGAACATGAAGGCAGCTAAGCGGCATTCTCCATAAAACCATCCTTCCCAGTTCTGAATGCTGACAGTAAGTCTATTTACCCCCTTTTCTTCTCTCAGCTAACTAAGGCCAATTCCTCTAATCTAGAGAAACTTTGTCTGGTGGCCAGGAACCCTGGAAATTCTTCGGAAACAGCTAAAACAGGTCAAACCAAACACATACCTTGTTTCATGTCCCTAAAGCAACTAAAAAACAAAAACAAAACAAAAAAAACCCTGCATTTGTATAAGTGCAGATTTTCTTGGCTGGTGCTTCTGCTTTGCAGAGCTTCCAACCCTCTCACCAGACGAGGAATCAAACCAAGGCAAATATATCATAATAAATTGAGTTTAATGAATGTGGCCAGTAAGGGGAGGAGGAAGCTGCAAGAAGGAATTTTGTGTGATTCTCAAGAGGCTCCTGTGTAATCAGGCAAGCATGCAGTAATTAAACCGAGTGGCAATCATTCATTTCAGGGATAAGTCTAATTGGTAAGAACTTAATGCCGAACGGTGACGAGGAGAAAGAGCAGGAGAAGCTCAGGCTGTGGCCAGGGCAGGGGAAGGCAGCTGAAGTTGAAATGATCTTGCTTGAAGAAGGAAGAAATCCAAATCCACGGGTCGGGCAGCAGCTGGAGTGGGACAGTCTCTAGCTTTCAGCATGGGGCAGCTTCAAGCATATTCTAATGTGTTGCTAAAAATAGCCCTCTTTATTCAAACTGAAGCAATGTGTCTGGGTCTGTGCAGGGCTGGATTCCTTCCAGCGCCAGACAAAACAAAATGGGGGAGGCCAAGTGGCACCCTGGCCTCTCTCCCCGATGAGCCCTCACTTTGGAGAGGAGGCTGCGAGCGTGAAGTTTGCCCAGGTAATCGGTCTTCCTGGGGTCATCAGCCAGCCCTACACAGTGCACCACCCAGACTGCCTCTTGGGGCTCAGGTGCATGGCAGGCACATCTGGTACCTGCCTCCCTCCTGGGGGGTGATGGGAACAACCACCAAAGAAAGGCTGATGGACCTTTTCTGGGCACACAGGAAGACAAGGGATGGACAAATCAATCTTTAAAGAGCCTCCTCCTACTGGAGGTGTCCGTGGCCATCCTGGCAGGAAGACATCACTGTCTGCAGCCTCCCCCAAAGCATCAGTGACTATGTCCCCTGTATCTCAGCAGCCCCCTCTTTTCTGACACAGGATGCAGGAAACGAATGGACGTGTTGGCATTCTGGTGGCTCCTGGGCATAATAGAGGATGATGTCTTCAGATGCCTCGAGGGAGAACTCTTGACAACTTGCCCAAATGTAACACCTGGCACTGGAGAGGTGAAGGCTTTATCCTGGCGTCACCTGTGATTTCAAATGCTATCTTTTGCACAGCTCAATGGTTCTTCTGGGATTAAAAACAGACAAACAAACAAACAAACCCAAGTCCTCCAGTGAAGAGCGGGGAAAGTGGGCGAGAGCCAGCAGAGGATGGAGGGAGGAGCCAGGGGCTTGAAGGCCACGACAAAGGCATACCCGCTTCTGCTTCTGGATGAGCTGCTCTAGTTCCTGGTTCTTCGACAACAGTTTCTGCTCCAGCTCCTGGCTGTGGGTCTGAAACCTCTCCGTGTCCTGCCAGGCAGGAAAGAAGGGGACGTGAGGCCCAAGTGCCCCTGGGATGCAGATTTTTCCCCCCACCTCGTATCTGCTCAACAGCAGGGCCCAGCCATCCTTTTGGACCTCGACGCCCTTCCTACAACATTCCAGGGCTGCGGTGCCCTGCCTGCCCAGCGGTGAGGCCCAGCAAGATGGAGAGGTGGAAAGTGCTCCGCAAGGCGTGACACCAGCTCCCACCAAGTGTGACCACCACAAATGACAGTGCGCCGCCCCCCTCCCCCCTGAAGGAGGCAGCCTCAGTTAGTGCTGCAGTCCTGAACATGGAGAACAGAACAGGGGCCTTAGTTTGAATCCCGGGCCCCCATCTCCCCACCTGTAAATGCGGGGTGAGGTGGAATATCCTTCTAACATGGATATTCTGTTCCACGTTGGGTACTAGCATTCGATCCCTTAACACAGGGCATCGCTTCTTCCCCTTGAGGGTCTATGTCCTCGCCGTTTCCCACCGTGATTGAGGTGTCCCAACCTCGCTCTTTGTGAAGTCTCTGGCCCTGTGCTTGACAGCCCCTCCCCTCCTGCCCTACAACTGGGCTTCCCTGCTCCGGAAGCTGACGACAGTGTGAAGGGGTTTGGGGTGGGGTAAAGAGAGAACTGTGTGGGTTGTCGGGACAGCTGACCCTCTCTCGGAGCCTGGTCTGGTGTAAAGGCCCTCAGCTGGGCGTCAGGAGACTGGGTTCCAGCCTTGGCTTACTTTATTCGCCTATCATTATTTCTTTGTTCACACAATAGAAATAAAAATATGCAGGCCACCTGCAGCTCTCCACTCTGCTGAAGGCAGAAAGGAGGTGCAAAATGTGCAGGAAGAGAAGAAACCATTATAACGTCCATATGCCTCATTACCGGAGCCCCTGGGGGGTGGGGGGGGGGCAGCTGTGGGAGGCTGCACGCTCCGGGAACCACGAGGTTGGGCACGACGGTGCCCCCAGGGGAGCGGGGGGCACAAAACCACTCTCAGGTACAGGCCTTTGGACACCTCCGTTCAAAGGCTCAGGATTAGCCTGGGCTCATCATCATCAGCCGCTGCCCGGCTCCTCAGGCAGGGGAAGGGAGCTCGGGGAGAGTCTGCGATGGTCCTCCTGTCAACCACATGCAACGGCAGAGGCAGGGCTGGACCAGGCAGCGCGTGTTCGCAACTCTTTTACCAGGGACCCCGCTTCACTCCGAGCGGGTGCCCTGCGAACAGCGCCAGGGCAAGGGGGGAGGGGGCAGCTCCAGAATTCTATTGCGGATGCTGCCATCCCCACAGTGGGCTTGCGGAGGGTCTCACAGCACACACACACCCCCACCCCCGGCACAGAGCCTTGAGGGCATCTCTTATCCGGGAGCTGGAGCCGGAGCGTGCAAGCAATTGAGCATTTCCCTTACCGTCAAACAAACTGCTCCGTGTAGCACCAGGAGCCGAGCCCCGGCCAGAAGGGCCAGCCCTTCCCATGCTGTCCCAAACCGTAACGCCACTGTCCTCACGCTGGGACCAGGCAAAGGCCTGTGTCAGCAAAGCCCAGCGCATCTCAACAGTTTCCACGTTTCCACAAAAAGCGTACATCTACACACGGGGCCTGAAAGGCCCGGGGTACTAAGCAGGGGAAGGGGGAGCAGAGGGTGGGTGAAGGGGTATAGCAGCGTCATCACATCACCTTAACATAATATGAATGTGTCCTTGAAGTTTTTCCTCTGACCTCCTCCCATTCCCAGTTCCCATGCCTTGGCCCACATTTTGCTTCTGGAAGCATGCTTCCTTCTTCAGCTAGGACCTTTGACCTGTAGTCACGGCCTAGAAGCAGAACATCTGGGGTCAAGGGAATGGCTTTCTCACTGCAGAGAGGAAAGTGGCCGCTGTTCTCAGAAAACTATTTTAGGGTCCCCTGGGTGACAAGTGTTTGAGTTCTGTCGGCCTTATACTCACCCAACTATGCTGAAGGTCAAGGGACAGGCTGAACGTTTTAAAGCTCCCAAAAAGAAAGAGTGGGGGAGAATCTGGAAATACTGAGAAGCCTTCAGAGGGATCTAGCTGGAGAACATGACCGGCTTTTTGAAAGCATTCCAACTCCACCTCAATCTGAACGGCATCTATGATAATAAATAGAGCCTTGGTGTGGATAATGCAACAAGCATAAAATTAAAAATTGGTTCAAACCAACCTGCATGTAGGAGGAGTGTTGGGGTTGTGATAATAGCCAGGTTCAGTTCTGAGAGGCAGGGGATGACGTGGTCTCTGTGTTGTATCCCCAGAAGTCACATGTTGAAAGTTAACCCCCAAGGTGATGGCCCCGAGGAGGTGAGGCCTTTGGGAGGTGAATGGGTCATGAGGGCAGAGCCCACAGGAGTGGGATTAGAGCACTTATTAAAGGGCACTTGCCTGCCCCCTCGGCCATGTGAAGACACCGAGGAAGTGGGCTCTCACCAGAACCTGACCACCCCCCTGGCCCCCTGAGTTTGGACTTCCCGGCCCCCAGAACTGTGAGAAATAAATGTGTGTTGTTTATAAGCCACCCGTTTATGGCATCATTGGAACAGGAGCCTGAACGAAGGAAGGAGGCTACTATTTAAGATTAAAGACTTTTCTGCTGAGAACCCACCGAGTCGGATAATCCAAAAATAGATAAGAGAGAGTTTTCTATAGCTTTGTTTTATAAATATGTTCCCCAAAGGCCCCTGCTTAGCTTGGAAAAGGGGAGGATTTCACCAGTTCTGACCTCCCAAGACAAATAGCAGGACTTGGTAGGAAGCTAAGTGCCAGACTAGGGACAGGGGATGCATGTTTTAAATGTTCCCCCCAGTGTCCGAGAAGGGCGGGATTTGACTTGTCTTGGGTATTACATCTTCTAGGGGTCTAAGGGAAAGGACAGGAAGCATAGACTCTAATGACGGCCCCTGAGAGGAGTTGCTGGCACGGAGTGGAATGGACTGCATCTGGGTGGGCCTGCCACATAGCTCTGGGGACCAGCCAGTGTCAGACCCCGTCTTCAAGCTGCTGTGATGGGCAATGCATGTACCTTCATCCCTTCACTCATTTATTCATTCATTCCTTTGTCCCTTGTTCATTCATTCAGTGATTCAACACATGTTTGTTGAGGACCTACTACGCTCCAAGCTTGGCTGAGGTGCTGAGGACGCATTAGCAAGTGAAAGAAAGATTCCTGCTCTTGTGGAGCTTTCAAGTTAATAGGAGACAGACCCCAATCAACAAAAATAAAGAAGGAAATTAAATGCTGCCTGTGAGGGTGACAGATGCCTTGAAAAATCTAAAGCAGAGAAACAGGGAACCCACGGTGCCACGGGTGGGGGTGCTGTAATCTTCAACTGGGGGTGGGGGTCAGAGCAGGTGATCTTTCCACCGGGCCCTCAGAGCTGAGCCCCGGTGTGGACTCTTACTTTTAGGAGAAACTGCTCCTTCTCATGCTTGATTTGCTGTTCCATCTCCTCGTAGAGATGCTGGATTTCTTCATCATAAGCAGCAATTTTCCTGCAGAGGTGGCAGAAGGAGAGTCTCGTGAGGTCTACACCCAAGTTCCTTTATCCTACAGCACAAGTCCTGGGGCCCGGGCACCAGGACCCCGTCCGGAGCTTGGGTTGGTGAGGGTGACTGCCTAGGTCCCATCCTCTGAAGCTGCGGGATCAGTCCCTCAGGATTAGCAGACCACGCAGGTCTAGCAGGACCTTCTCCTCCTCCTGGATGAGGAAGCCGTCATTTCTAGATGACCCCTACTACACTCCTCAGTGAGGCTTCCCTGGCTCCATCTTCCTCAACCTCGCTTTATTTCAACAACGAGCCCCCGGCCTCTGCTGGACGGACCTCTCTATTGTCTGCTGGTCCCTACACCTGTAGTCAGCATAAAGTTGTGCTGTGCGGGCTTCTTTCCTATTTGGGTTCTTGGTTGCTCTCCTTCCCACTTTGGATGCTTTCTTTCTACTTGGCTACATCAGCACAGTCGGAGGGCTCTCCCGAAACTCTGTGCTTGTGTGATGCACATTGCTCAGGAAATGTCAAAAGATTCCATAATAAGGACAGCCACTGACACCACGTCCCCCGCAAAGGAAGGGGGGGCCACACCTGTCCAGCGCTCATGCCATCTCAGGTCCAGGGCCCCAGGCAGACAGCATGAGAAGGGGCAGGCCGGTTCAAGGCGGGTGGTGAGGATGAGATGTTCCCATCCCCTGCCAGCATCTTCTTCCTACGCTGAGGACCCCCACAGGACGGGAAGGAAATTCCTGGGTACCCTGCTCCTATATAGAGACCAAGACAAGTACGGCTTTGGGAACAAGATGTATAGGTCATCCCTGGTGTTGTCCAGATACGTCCTCCTTTGAATGCCGCCCCCCACCCACGTGCAAATTCAAACAAGAAGGCTGAAAATTTGAACAGAGATGGAAGTTATCCGGCCAAAGCATCCCAAGGGACTGCACCGTGACACCTCTTCTCTGACCTGCACTGAAAGTTTCTCTCTGGCTCAGTGCCCCCTGGTCCTCTTTCTCACCTGTTAAGGGGAAGAATCCAGGCTCAGGAGCAGGCTGATGTCTTGGTTCTCAAGGTCTGTCTTGAACCTACTCATACTATAAAATTTGGCACTTGCCATTCTAAACTCAAATGGTGGCAAGCCCCCTCTGCCCTTTATCCAAGGAATGGGACTTTAATAATGAAGGAAAGGGCTCTGGTTTTCAGTTCTAAGAAGTACTGGGAAAATTTCTGAACAAAACATCAAGAATGGCAACGTGTTTATTCCTCTGAGTCCTTCATCGTTTTAACCTCCACCTCCCTAATGTCCACTCAGGACTCCAGTCTAGTGCCAGGCCTTCCCTGCTGCCCAAGGATGTCCCTTCCTCACTTGCTACCTGTACCACACACACAGATGGAGCATGACTAAGGAGCCATTCTGCCTGGCATCCTTCCAGTTCTATAGGAACCACAAAAGTGACCCAGACAAGGAACTGGTGTGAGTCTTCATGGCCAAGGTCATTCAAATAGAAACAGAAGCCTCTAAGTTCCCTCTCTTGGCTGTACCCCCAAAGCCAGAAACCTTTTGAGTGAGTATGGCAATGGCCGCAGGATGCGCTCAGCAAAAGGTGACTTCCACGAGCTGGAGCCCTGTGTTTACCACCATCCTGGGCGTAGGAAATTTCTGGTTGGCTAAGAGTAAGAAATCTCTTCTTGCTAAATGACAACTGTTTTGGATTGTTACTTTTGTTATTAGCCAGCCCATAATAAGTATAAGAAAATCTTGGCAAGAAATAAGGAGCAAAGGTACCTGCTCTTGAATAGGGACACCTCAAGGGCAGAAATGAACACCGTCTGAAGGGACTAGCAGAAAGAAAGTTTTTCTGGGTCCCTGGAATTATCTTCCTATGTTCAAAGAAATTCAGGTCCTAGATGGCAAATGGTATCAAGGACAACTTTAGACAGTGATTCCAACTATACAGATACTGAAGAACTAATAAAGTGAGATGATAGAAACTTAAAAATTGATTTGCTCTGATAAAGCAATACTAATTACATCCATATAAGCTGTTTGCCATTTATGCTTAATAACCACACAGGGCATCAATTTTATACCATCATTAAATGTGTTATATTAACTTTGCTCTATGTTTCATTTGATTAAATTAACAAACTGTTTTTCATGCTCGCATGTCAGTTTGCTTGTCATAAAGTAATTTTGCAGATAGCTAAAAAAACAAATAGGGGGAAGGCCGACAGCCTCTGAATGGTGCCTCCTTCTAGCCCTCATTAACAAAGGCTGGGCCCATTGCAAAGAAGCCCTGGGGTTCCAGGTGGGCTTCAGTGAGCCCGGGTCCAGGCTAACCAGACTTATTCATGGAACCAAACCTCTGGAGATGCTTTTGAATAAAGCCGGCATCCTAGGGGACTGGGCCAGGCCTGAAGGTCTTCAGAGGATGAGTCCCATGGACTGACCGACTGACTCATGACCAGCCCGAGTCAGACACATGAGCCCCAGGAATGGGGGGCATCACAGTGCTGTTCATACCATTCACACCACTAAACCAGCTCGGGGCTTCAAAAGCCCTGGGTTCTGAACCTGGAATCAGCTCATATCCTCAGTGTGACCTTGAGCACTCTGACCTCCTTACATCCCAGAGTACCACCTGCCCCGAGTCCCCACTCCTCCCCACCCTGCCCCGGCACCAGCATGACGGACAAACAAGAGAGCCGAGAGCCAGTGTGAAAAGCATTTGGAACTGCAAAGCCCTAAGTAAATGTAAGGGATTATTTATTATTGTAATTATTGTCATGGGCTGTGGAGGGCAAGAGCCATTGTTCCCCAAGGGGAGGAAGGTCTTAGTTTCAAGGATAAAAGTGCTGCTGGGTTTGGAAAAGGTGAGAGGCAATCAGGAAGATGAAGAACGGAAAGCTTTGTCAATAAAGGCTCCTGACAGATCCATCTGTTAGAGACACAGGCTGTGTGTGAGTGGGAGCTGCAGGGCCGGAAGCCTGTGTCTGCGGGGAGCTCTGCAGTGGCCATGAGAAGGGTAATCGTGAGAGACACTCTAAAGAGGTCTGCCCGTGTGGCATGTGGCGTGCCAGCCCGCACACCATATTCCCCCACCAAAGGAGAGAGGCAACCAATTATGCTTGCTTAATACATACATCTCTGTTAGCACAATTTCGAAAACCACTCACATTGCCCGATGCACACATATACTTTTTCATCCTCCCCGTGAGAATTTCCCCACCTATTCGAACCTTCGCTCACCCCTTCTCTGAACTCTTAGAACATCAGATGTCTTTAATTGAATGTTTCCGTTTAAAATCCTGAAAAACTCATCTGGGCTGATGCTGTCTCATCGAGGTTAGGACACTCAGTCATTTTTTGTCATCCGCAGGGTCTATGCTCAAAATGTGAATGCTGAAAATCTGTACAAAATCAATTTAAGACTTTGGCTACCTAAATAGGTAGCCCACGGAAAGACCATACTCGGGGAACACCGGATTCCAGAGGAATTCAAGAATTTCAGGGTTGGAAGGTCTGCCTGATCCAATCACCTATTTTCCCAGGGCTAAAACCCTTGCCACAATGTCCCTGCCATGTATTTACCCAAACTAGGTTAGAACACCTCTAGCGATAGGAAACCTGACTGGATCTCTAAACAGCTCTTTCATCTTTGGAATATTCTGGCTCACAGAATTATATCTTTCTATGACCTTATCCCTCCTCTGCATAAAAACCTTTTATATATTTGAAAACAGCATTAAGACTTCAAGGAGTTGCCTTGGGTTTATGCCATGCCTCTTTACTTCCTCCAACCATGGCTCATGGGGATTTTTTTTTTTTTTTGTATGTCCCTTCACCTTTCTCTTTACTTTTCTCTGAATGTGCCCTGATTTAGCTTCCTCGAGTCATAGAACCCCCGACTGAATGCCCAGTGTGTGAAGTCTGATTAGCACAGCTTAGAGCGGGACTATGCCTCTCTTGTTCCAGACACTGCATATCTATTCACGCAGCCTAAAATCACATTAATTTTTCTTGGCAGCCACATCATAGTTGATGAATGCCGAGCCCATTTGTCAAGTAAAACCTCTAAATCTTTTGTCTGTGTGATTGTTTTTCTTTTAAAGATGGTGCTACTGAATCATATCTCTTCCACCTTGTGCTTCTGTCATTGGCTTTTTGGACACCAGAGCAAGATCTCAGATGTAATTCTATTAGAATCCATCCATCTTTCCAGCCTGACATTATCTTAATGGATCCCAACTGGTCATCCAGTGTACTCAATGACCTCCCAAGCTTTGTTGGTATTTTAAATCTTTAATCATAATGTAAGGTAAATAATATATTGTCTTAGTTTGTTGGTTTTGATTATTTAATTCATCTGAGAGTTGTTTAGAAGTGTTTTTATTTTTAATTTTTTAAGATTTTCTTTATTTATTTGAGAGAGAGAGAAAGACAGCATGAGCAGAAGGAGGGGTAGAGGGAGAGAGAGAGAGAAGCAGACTCCTCACTGAGCACAGAGCCTGATGCAAGCTCAGTCCCAGGACCTGAACCTGAGCCAAAATCAGACACTTAACTGACTGAGCCACACAGGCACCCCTAAAAGAGTGTTTTTAATCTAAAAACTACTGGTTTCTAGCTTATTGTAAAAGAAATAGTTTATTAGTAAAAAAAATATATACTGGTAAGGTATCTACTTCTTAGAATCTATGAACCTTTCCTGTGTAATCAAAAACATTATCACTTCTTGCATAACTTCATGAGAAGAATGTGTATTCTACTGCAGGGTACACAACTCTATATTTATCTCTTAAATTAAGCTTGCTGCTTGATAGTTTTAAATATTTTACATACTTATAGTACTTTTTGCCTGACTAATATATCAAATTCTAGATAAGTTTGTTAAAATCTTCTAAAGTCTTGTTTTTATCAAATTTTCTTTTTTTTCTAAAAGTTTTTGCCTTATCTATTTTGCTGCTATGTTATCTGATACCTAAACGTTTATTTCTGTTGTAGCTTC